TGTATTGAGAAAACAAATGTATCGGCAACATCATATAACATGCCTCAGGTATTTTGCTTAGGGGAATTACAAATGACAGACATGGGTGGAAAATTTTTTAATGCAACAATCTGCCAAACACCCTCAGCAGGGAGAGATGAAGATTAAGCTAAGATGACTATTGCAAACCAGTCAAGGTCAACTAATCAAACATGTGAGCTACAGGCATGCAAGGAGTTGTATTTTTGTTTTTTTTTCAGTAGGTCATGATTAGAAGACAGAGCTGTCTTCTAATATACTCAAGGATATTTATTACAAGACCCCCAACCTTTTCAATATAAAGAGTAGTAATGAATCTGGAAAGGGTATGTGTCTTTCAATCTTGGAGATTTCCTGGAGAAGTAGTTCTATGCAATTGCATTTTGAGAGAAAGAGGGCCTGTTCTTTTTTTTTTCTTTCCTTATTTGGAGAAATAAGTAATAATTTATAGTGGAATTCTGAGGTCACAGACTGTGGCTGACATCCTATATGAATCCAAATAACATTGTACAGCAAACTTCTATTGGATAAAAGCTTGATTTTCTTTTTTGCAATTCCTAAATCAGACTCGAAGGCAGAAAGGCAGAGCATGTAAAAGCACCCACTGAAGAAACACTCTCTCCTTTCTTTTGTATTGATGGAAACAAACTGTGAATTTAGTATAAAGGATAGTTTTAGTGGCCCTCAGAAACCTGAGGGCATCTCCACCAACTGAACAATATTTTCAAAAGGCAGTTCATGATTTAACTCTCCTCTCATTTCAAATGCTAGCATGAGAGTTAAGCAATGTATTTATTTTGTATTTCAGGTTGCACCTGGTCGCTGTGTAACTGTGGAAGGGCAACTGGCTAATACAGACCATGCTCATAGAAAGTCCTCTGTTTGTAGAGCCTTCAGAAACAATCAAAAGAGATAAAACATTGGACTCAGCCAAGAAAAAATCGGTACCTGTAGAATAGATGCTGTTCCAAAGAGTGGTATATTAATATGTAGCTACCTGTGTGTAGATACAAGATAAAATCTGTTTTTAATGACTTGAAAAATTGCTTAGAACATCAAAAGAGTAAAATTATATCTTCCCTTAATTATATAATATAGGGATGCTTTATTAATAAAGCCCCCTATACAGTATGGTACAAAGGTATGTTAGTTTAGTGACTTTGTGTGCTAATATCCACTGTCAACAGGTCCACTGTTTTAATTTCCATCTCTTCCTGACACGTTCCATACATTGCAGTTTAAGCATCTCATTGAGCAGGGTGATAAATCTTCACATAAACAAACATTTGATTCTTCATTTCCCTGAATACCATACCCACATAGTTTCTGTCCAAGCCCATTTTGTTTCTTGAATTGCCACTTTTAGCATCAGGACTTCTGACATCCAAGTTTTCATCTAAATACTCACTAAGGAGCTTGTTTGTGCCAGCAGTTTCTCCCAGCCTGTTGGAGAGGCCTTCTGGAATGTCCTTCTCCGTTTGGGTTGCTCACAGCTCTTTAACTGATCTTACTAATCTAATAATTGTTGGGCTCTGATCCCCATTATCTCCAGAAAGAATTCATCTTCTTTCACCTTTGCACCTCTAGAATGCCTGCACAAACTGGTGAGAGCAGACCTTTGTGTAGATGACTCAATTTCTGAGCTATTTTCTTTTTTAATTTGGTCAATGCCAGAATTCACTGTTATACAATAGCACAAGACTCCCTGAGGCTCTTAATTTTAAAACCAGTTGCTGTCCAGTGCTGTGACATTGCAAGCTTTTATGCTGTGACATACAAACTGGCACTTAGTTTGTCTTTTTTGCCTGTCACCAATATCTTGAGAAAAGCACAAACTTTTGTTTTTTTAACTGCCAGCTTGAAAAAAAGGAAATAAATTTGAGCTAAACATACTCCAACTCACTTTTTTTTACTTCGTGAAAGAGGGATGGGATAGGGTGTGTGTATCTTCAAAATGTTTCTCACACAACAAGACAAACATAGAAATAGTGGCATTAAAATAAAGGCAAAGAGTTTTGTTTCAAAATTGACTACCTAAATTTTATAAAAAGAAGAACCGTAAGAAAGTAATAACATAAAATAAAACATACATATGAAAAGTGATATTTGAAGTTTAGAAAAATCTCTATATATGCATTTTCCAAAAATCAGAAGGATTTTTTTATGGGCAGGTCTGTTACACCCTTGTTGAGTAAGAAAGTCATCACATTGTACAGTAGAAAAGTTATCTAATACTTAGAGAAATTGAATTGAGTTGTGCTAATTTAATTAAACTTTTTATGGTGACCCTTTGCTGACTTATAATTTTTAACTATAGTCTAATTAGTTATTACATTTTCCCAAGACTATCTGTATAAAGTTAGTTTTATTAAACTAGCCTATTTGTATTTCTTGCCTGCCTACAAGAAAGGTTAGCCAAGGTATATAAAGATTCTCTAACTCAAGTCCTGTGTCAAATAGTCTTGCTCAGTTTATGTTTATATTTCTCTGACATCTCTGCAGCAGCCTTGCTGCTTTATTACTGGCTTAGAGAATGTGTGGTCTATTGTCTTTTTACAATTAAAACCAAATGATACATATTTTACTAGGAGACCAAAGACTGTGACGTTTGGAGGGGTTTTTACTTGCTTTTTTACATGCACATATGTGAATGTGTAGGTGACTCATTACAATGGGCAGCAAGGCAAAGGCCCATTAAAAAAAAACGTAGAGGACATGTAAGTCCTTCCAATTTCTGAGCAAAAACTACAACAATACACTGTAGCCAAGGTATGGATAAAGAACCAGTAATCAGCTTTGTTTTTGCAAAAACTTTAAATCAGTCACAAAGTGAGCCCGATGGCATTCTCCCACAACTGTATTGTTTCTGCTACAGACACCCTGACTGTAAATGAGCAGCTGCAAATGCTCTTGGTAATTAAGCATTAATGTTAATTAATAATGACTGGAGAATGAAGGGGACAGAATTTCCCCAAATAGTTACATTTATCCTTCATAAATCAGTACTAACACAAGCAGCACACAGCACAAACAGCATTCGATTTTGTCAGACAGCCATGAACCATAGTTTGGCTGTTGCAGGGGGGGAACATTCAACACCCATGAAGCTGGGCTTGCCATCCCTGCTTGTAACCCAGGGGTGCAAAAAGAGGGGGTAGTGGGGGAGGAAAAGATAATCCCATTCACTGTTAATCCCTCATGCTGACATGCCAGGAGCAGTCAGCTGTGGCTTCCCACAGTTCTCATAGATGTACACATAGCATTTCCACCTGGAATTTGTTTCACTGCTGCTGTGACCCGGGATTCATAATCACCTGCCCCTTTGGCAGACAGCACAGGGTGACCATAGCAATTGATTGTTCAAACATTCTGGAAACAATTATGGTGGATGCTAAGCACTTTTGTGTCTTACAGAAAACTAACTAAAACAGACTTAGTGCCTGAAGAAAGATAAAGCTTTTAAAACTGCATAGGATACCTTGCTCTGGCATTCAATTAAAAGACCATTAATAGAGGAAACAATCCCTTAAAAATGTTATTATACTTTAACACTTCTGTAGGTGATCAATGTAGGTGAACAAGGGGCATTTTTTAATATTGTTTATGCCAGTTAAAGCTTCTGTTGTAAATGCAATGCAGTACACAGCTTTATCAACTGGATACTGCTGGGGCAGGTTAGATAATTGCTCTCAACCTGCTGCTCATCATAATGTATCAATTCCTGAAGTTGCTGTGTTTGGGTGTGTAATAACTCCATCTGCTCAAAAATGTTATTTCTGCCATAAAGTGATGTTCATGGGTCAAAAAAATCTCTTACTACTTTTGTACCTTCTCCAGAATACTGTAGGAGATATATTTTAGAAGATGCAGTTCAATATTGTATTTACCTAAATGAACATTTACAAATCTGTGAGACTTGTTGGATATTTTACAAACTGTATATGAGCTAGGCATTATGTGAGATGGATTTCTTGTTCCTTATGAAGGTTTATATGCTTTTACAGCATGAGTACTATTTCCTAAAATAATTAAAACCACCTGTAATCTCATAAAAGTCTAAAACACAACAGGGACTGAACAAGCTGCATTGCACAAGGCGTAAAGCAGAGAACAGTCAGCATTTCTCAGGGTTTTTTATGCTCAGAAGAATTGGATTTAGGAGGCAGTTAACCTCCTTGAATTATTTTATCCATGCTCAATGGTTTACACTGGGAGCAGCACTTGAATCAGCCTGTCCCTCTTTTGAACCAGTTGGTGCACAGGTCCCATCTCAGCTGCAATGATAGGGATGGGCTGCATCACCTTATTTTCAGTCTTGTGTAAAGCATGTCACATACTAGTGGCATCAAAGAACATATTAATAGGCAAGAAAGCTACTGCTATTCAGACCTTGCTGCTTAGAAAAATACTTTAATTTATCCATAGCTTAGACTAAGCAATGATAAAATACAAAGTCTAGACTGCACAGGACATTATTACAACGAGCATAATCCTTCCCTTTAGCTTAATGTCTCACTTCCTTCTTTTTTCTTTTTTTTTTTCAGTTCTTAAGGTTAATTGTATGTGCAAGACAATTTATAAAATAAATTTGTTCACATTTTCTCAGTTGCATAATGTATAAAAATATTTTGGGTTTCCATCAAAATTAACTTTTAAAAAGAGAATTACTGGAAAATACATGACTCTACAAAAATATGACACATCCAGACTTTAAAGTTTATGTGGGAAAACAAATGTGTTGACTCAGAACACATTCACACATGGAGGGAGGAAAAGGCAAGCTAGTAGACTGCAAGACAGGAAAGCAAAAGGGACAGTGTGGGGGTTCATGTACTTATCAGTTTAGGAGTGATTAAGTACTTTATACAAAAATAAAAGAGAAAAAAAAAGGGTTGAACCATGCCAAAGGATTTGTCCAAACATCTACAATACACATTGTCATTTTGTGCTCCTTCAATTTGATGTTGCCTTGTTTAAGTGTCTTCATTTTCTCCCCTTTTGGCCTAAAGTGGATTGGTGAAAGCAGACCCTGCAAGATTATGAAAGACAGGTAGTTATTGTCCAAGCAATATATTAGAAATGCTATGATTAAATGTTCTTCATGTTCATTCCAAGAACCTGAATCATCTGACAGGGTACATCAGAAAAAAGCCTGTTGCTGAGGAGGAATGAGGTCAACAGATCTAGGAGTGATTAATAAGATGTAAAGTCACCCACATGATCTCAGTTCAGACTCAAACCCGATCATGATGACCAGAACCTGTCACTGTTTAGTGATCACAGTGACCATGACATCACATTATATGTCAGTCATTTTACTGGGAAAAATAGGGCTCAAACTGTCAGGGATTTGAGCTTCCCTTCTGCAGAACAATGATTTCCCAAAGCTGAGACTGAGCTCCTGATACCAGGAAACTTTCAGTATTGTAATTACTTATCCATGTATTCTCATTTATATGCACACAGTGATAAACAGAGAATGCAGCATCCATTTCCACACACTTCCACATGCATACCCAGTGTTTTTTACACTTTGTTAAAGATAGAGATGTGATACTATTAACTACCAGTATCTCGTGTATTGTGAAAGTAGCTACCATTGAAAGATGCAAACACTTTTGACAAGTAAAGACAGAAAATTAGAAATTAGTATATTGAGTTGTCTAAGCAATGAAGGGTGAGGATGGAGCATTGGTTCAGTTTAATATTAGTACCATACCCTATAGCTATAGTTACCTCCTAAAGTTCTGTGTGAGTACGTGGAAGAATATTTGGGAGATGTTAATTGTCTTCTGCCCATTCCATGGGATCTTGAGAGCACACAGTCTACATACATATCCCAGAAGTTCTGGGCTAAATCATTGAAGAGATCATTGTGCTTGGGCTTAGGGGATTCCTTTAGGAACATCATGAAGTCCCAGAGAGCAATGACTGTATCTGCTACCTTGAGTTTCTTCATTTCCACCAGCCCATGGGACGATACCTCCCAGCACTGATGGTCAATCTCACGCAGGCTTGGAGGGGTTTCTTTTTGATACTCTAGATTGGCATGAACCAAATTCACTAATAACATACAGCCCAGCTGAAGATACCACCATTGTTTCCATACAAATTCCATACTTGAAGAAGATACCTGAAAATAAGGGAATAAAATCACAGTGATTCTGACATTACATAGTTCATTGTCACATAACTCTCATGGGTACCCCAAGAGATCATTTATAAGAGATCATTTTATTCAGAAAAATACTTTTTTTCCAAACCGTGGAATAAATACCAGTCTAACCCTAATGCTGGAAGCTAGGTTTGCACCTAGAAATTGGTAATGCTATTTAGAATATGAAAACCCAAAGCAAAAAGTTTGAAGTGACCATAGCCAATGTCAGAACTGCTCCTTGAGACCAGCACTTCTTCCCTTAGCTTCCTGTGCTTGGATTGTCAGTAAAATCAGGTTAATATCAGATGCTTAAAGAGTCCTAGTGGTATGCTATTTTAAGTTACTGCAAACAAATAACAATTGTAAACAGCCAGTCTTTCATGGAAAGTCTGACTCAGAAAGATGGTAAGGAATGGTAAGTCAGACTGTACAGTGTACTGGGTGAGTGTAGGCATGCTATGAACTCATTCAGCAGCTGTTGCTTCCAAGAATGGAAGAGGGAAAATTCCTTTTTGGCTTATATTAGAAAATTAAGTAAGATTTTGGCATTATTTGGCATTATTATTTCTAGTATATATGGAAAACAGAGAAAGTATCTGGAGAATTGGAGATGGAAAGAGCAATAAAACAGGAGGCATAATAACTTCAAATGCTACAGAGTATGTATTCTTTACTATACAGAGATTCCCCCTGGGAAAAATGCAGTCTTCCTATGATGTGTATTCCAAATCCTTGAATCAAGTTTAGACAGAACAGCACTGAAACACCTGATGTTTTTTGTTTTTTTAATCAGTCCTTTCTATCAAGATAAAGTGCAGAGGAACAGGAGGATAAACATAAGGAGAAAACAAATCAAACAAAAATGACAAGCATAGGAAGAAGTCTGAAGAAAAAGAAGTCAGTCAAAACTTTCAGACAGTGCCCCTTATTTTGGTATCCTGAATCAATTCCCTTTTAAGTAGTTGGTGCCATGCTTATTCTCACAGTTTCCAATTTGGAGTGTAAAATACAATTATGAAAATGATGTGAGGTTTTGTACAGAAAAAAGGCAACATTTTGGGCAGCTGTGCAAATTTTACTAGGAATTTGGCCAGAATTGCAAGTGTGCTCTTCCACTCAAAATATCTGTGGGCACCATCAATATTAAAAGTTAGTCTGTGATCTCTTCAAAGTGCTAACACACTGACATCCTTTCTGCAATTCCTAGTGATGCAATTAAAGAGAGAATAATCCATAGATCATACAACATTTATGTGGAATGTCTGTAAGAATACAGAGTTGGGGTGACACCATGGAGTTCACAGTCACACCAAACTGGGTCAGGAACCAGGACAGCTTGAAATAGGCCTTTTTGCTGTGGCCTCAGAGTTCTGGGATGATTTATAGTTTGAATGTGTAATCACACTGCTGCAGCCACCTGAGGTCCCTAATCATGTATTCCTTCACTTCAGCTTCAGAACCCAAGGAACTGAGGCAGACAGATACCCTCCAACCTAGCTCCTTCCTAAAAGCCCGGGTCAGCTCCATTTCAGCAGGCAGCAGGATTACCTGCCTCAGCATCCTGAGAGCTTATCAGCATGCATTAGTTTTCTTCTTTGGGTTCTTAGAAAACTGGTTCCAGCAAACAAGTAGGGATGGAAATGCTTCTTTTCTCATTTCCACTTCACTAGGCACCAGTGTTCAGAGGAAGGACACATTGGCAATTTCCTACAAAGTAGGAAAAGGGCAGCCAGGAAACAACCAACATTTTGAGTTGTTCTGATTTCATGTTTTAATCCAGCTAAAAACTGAAATGCTAAAGGCCCATTTGAACAGCACAAACAGGAGCAGAGACCACAACAAACCTCAGAGACTTTGAACTAGTAACTCCCACTATTCAGTACAAGAGAGAGGAATTTCACAAAGGCAGTAACTAAAGAGCCACAGCAGAAGTTGTACTTACAGTATTTGAGGGAGGAGATGGAAAACAGTAGCCTTGAAAAAGAGAAGTCAGCCACTTGGAGATAAAGAAAGGCACTCATGAGAGGGCTGCAAGTCCCTGGCAGCTGCTGGATGCTCCGAGGATGCCGAGGTTACAGTGCACAGGGACGACTGTGCCACTGGCAAAGCAGCAGCAGCAGCAGCAGCAGCTGAACTCGGGTCGGGGGAAGGGTGGAGGGAGCTGTGGCAGCCCCACCTCTCTCTGCAGCAGCGCCCAGTGTCAGCCCAGCCTGGGCTGGGGCATCACCTGGAGACACTGCCTTCGGGGTGGGGGTGAGCCAGGGGGAGGGACACAGGGCTCTCAGAGGGAGGAAAACATAGTGGATAGCAAATCCTAATCAGGAACATGAACACTCTCATGTCATAAACTGCCATTCATAAACGTAGGTTTCCATGCATGTTCCTGTTTGCCCACCAGAACATGCAGGGACAATGTTCAAAGTAATGAAAAAGAACAAATACGTGGTAAAATTTGGTCTGTTAATGTTTCACAACATGATTTGGTGGAGTTCAGCATGACAGGAACAGTCAGATAGTTTTTTTCAAGTAAAAATTTAGTAAGTTCTGTCAAAAATCAAAATATCCAATGCTTAAGCACAAATACAAATCTGCTCTGAAATGACAGTGTTCACAATAATTTTGTATCCTCTGGAAGTCTTACCAACTAAGCCATGTCAACACAGTTTGAAAATCTTGCTTCAAAAAGTATGGCATGTTTGAAACTACACAATTAAATAGAAGGAAATATCTGCAAGACAGGAATATAGTTAGCTTACTTCTGAACTCGTATCACTGAAAGGAGCTAAAACTCTATTTAGATGTAATTATTCCTTGAAATTCTAAGGCAGTGTTCATAAAAAAGAAATTAAAGCATTCGAAAGACTTCACAAGGAACCTCTCTTTAAGCAAGCTCTCTTGTATCACTAATAAAAAACAGCATTCAGTAACTTTTCAAGTTAAGAAAATTTTCCCTTTTTGTTTGCTTTATGCACTATCAAATGTATTAGTGTTGTCAATGTCACAGTGAAACAGCCAAAATTTCAAAGGCATTTAAAGGCATCTAAAGAGGTGAGCAGTTCCACAGCTGCTTGGCTGCTTCAATCCCTTCTCATTTCATTTCTGCTTAAAACATCTAGATGTAGTAGCACAGGCTACTGGTGCAAACACAGTGATTTTCCTTCTACTCCAACAGCCACTGAAGGCAGCTTTTCATCATATTTCTTCATCCTACAAATTCATTTTTATCACTCTTCTCTTGCTTTTCCTTTTTCTAGTTAAATCCACCATTTTTAGTCTTAAAACTTGCAGAACACACCTATAGAAATCAAAATGCTGAGGAATAGATTTTTGTTCAGAAAATCTTTTCAAATAAAAATGCTTCTTTTAAAAATGTCACCTCGTCAACAATGTTCTCTTAGGAATCTACATGAAGATTCACTGATAATATCTAAAAAAATCACATCTCTATGTGAAAAAGGTTCTGAAGGCTGACTTCTGTATTTTATTTCCCTTTCTGATGTTATCCACTTTGTCAGTCATGCACTGAGGGATCATCACCTGTGGGGGAATGCCACATGGAACAAGGATGAACCCACGAATTCAAGTCAGTGGAGATCAAAATTATTGGAAACTAATAATCCTGTGAAATATTACATGAAATGTGTAGAATGGAAGCATCATGAAGACAGTCACTGATCATGTTTGTTAAGTTAGTCACTTAAATTTCTATTTCAGAACAAGAAAAGTCAAGGAAAGCCAAGAAAAACCAGGCTGTGACCACCTTTGAAATATCTAACATATCTGAAAGCTACAAAAAAGCTTGGGCTGAAGGGGAAATCTTTAAAGCAGAGAACCTATCCATGTACATTAGGAAGGTTTTTTTGAGATAATGACTAAATGTAAATGTGATTTAGAGAAAAATTGTGTTGTGTTCTTAATTCTGCAGGGCTTCCAAAAGAATTCCAAAGCTGCAGCATACAGCATACAGCATACATATAAACACAAGGACTCCAGCACAGCTGCTTGACACTGAGTTTTATTAGATGGCTCATAGTAAAAGTATCTACTTCTGTGATATTTAATTTTTTAGTTGATAGGTTTAATCTGGGCAAAATAAAATGTTTCCCTCAAAATTCTTCCAGCAGTGATACCTTTCCATGGCAGGTGTGTTAAACTTTTGTACTTCTATTTATTCCTTCTATTATGACAGCTGAGGTGCTTCCATCTAGTGGGATTTTATGGTACTGAAGAGTGTACCCTTGCTGTTGGGTAAATCTCTTTATCTTTTCCCATAAAACTGTAAAATTATTTTACAATATTTGGACCTTGGGTATGTTGGTGAAGTTATTTCTCTCAATTAGAAAGACCATTATGCAAACTTACCAGCTGTGTGCACGTTCAGAAAGGCAAGGAAAGAAAAACTGACTTTCATTTTTTGATTATTTCAATTCTATGTTAAATAAAGCTGTATTGCAAAAATATTTCTGCTTATTTTCTACATATTTCCATCCAAGTTAGTTGTTTTCTAGACTGAGAAAAAGTCTGAGACTGACTGACTTGCATCACATAAAGCAAATTTCAAAAATCTGCTGGTGGAAGTTTTAAAATTGTTGGGGGAAGAGATTTTATGGCTTCTTCTTGTTAGGTCTGATGACAGTACACTACTTAGTAATTTATACCAAGAGAGAAAAGAAACAGAGGGATAAAACTGTGATTTGAGGTGGCTGTACCCTTGTGATTTTCAAGCAATCATATACAAATACGTGAAGTACACAGTTCTGAAGCATTGCTTATCATGTAACTCAGAATATGCATTGACTATATAAGTCAGTTTGGAAAGCTTTAAAATGCTGCCAGCCTTTTGTGACTGAATTATATATATATCTGTGACACAGGCACACTTGTTCGTAAACAGGATTGATTCACTGAGGATAAAGAATTGAGTCACCCTCTGCATCACTGATTAGCAGCTTCTAAAGTAA